CCAATATCGTGTATGGGCCTTTATATTTGGCACTCCACTTTTTTCCAACAAAAGTGAGTGGATGTTGTCAAAGCCATACCTTATCTCCGATATTGTAGGCTGTGCCTTTTCTGTGTACATTCAATCGTTCCAGATACAAAGCTTGTCCTTTCCTGATGGCTTTTTTTGCCTGTTCTTGTAAGGACTCTAGTTTCTCCTTTTTTACCTCATAATAATCCCGTATACTCTGGAACTGCTGCAAGTTTTGTAGGCTTGAAAGCCAATTTCTTCTTGGTTTCATCCCAGTAACAATTTTGAACGGGGAGGCTTGTAAAGCTTCATGTTTAGAACTATTATGCACCCATGCGGCTAGTTTGAGTAATTCATCCCAGGTACTTCTATTGTCGGGATCTAAGTATAGGGCTAGGTATTCAAGGAGTTCGCAATATGACCATTTGTTCTGGCCGTTGCCCTGGGGTCGGTATGCTGTTGTTGTGTTTGCCCTTGCTCCCAGAAAGCAAGCTAGATTGCAGAACACACTACTTACAAGTTTGTCCCTCGATCCGTTAAAATTCTCTTGGGGGCTCCAAACAAACATACCCAATTGGTCAAGAAGAGCCTTGCCATTGTCTGGGCGGAAGCGTCTTTCATAGCTGAAAAGACGATCCATCTTGATAATCTATCTTGTATAACTAAAATGTACCAATTACCCCTTTGGCTATTGGGAACAGGTCCCACGACATCCACGCTAACATCCTCAAAACAATTTTTAGGTATGCTGGTACTGAGGTATGGGGTCTTGTGGGTGTACTGTTTGGTTTTCTGGTATTCCGGGCATGTCTTTACAAAAGCCATAACATCTTTTTCAACATTAGGCCAGGTGAATTCTTCCTGGATGGCAAAAACAGTCTTATTGATTCTACAATGACCCATAGAAGGTGGATCATGAAAACTACTAATTAACTTTTCTCTAAGCGACGGGGGAACCCAAACACGCTGTCCCTGGCTAGTCTTTTTCATTAGCACGCCATCCTGTAAACTGAATTCTGCTCCAAAGGGGATTTTTCCTTTCAGAGAGGCTGTAGCTCTTTGCAGTAACATCCTGGAAATATAAGGAGTCAGATTAGTTTCCAGAAGAGTAGGCGAAAGGTAAGCACACAATCTTTTGTTTTTGCTGTCTGGCGGGAAACGGCTTAGCACATCAGCATGGGGTATAGATAGCCCCTTCTTATATTCCACTTGATACTCATACTCATTGAGATTCATAAACCAAGCAATGGCCCTGCGGCTATCCCTCTGTCTCTGACGGCTCAAATAGAGTATCGCTATGTGGTCCGTACGGATCACAAAGGGATGTCTCCATAAATACGAGCAAAATTGCGAGACTCCGTAGTAAACAGCCAGCAGTTCACAATCAGTATTCGGGTATCGTGATTCTGCATCATTGAGAGTCCGGCTTGCGCATCCAATCAATACTTCCCGTTTTCCTGGCTTCTGTGTTAAAACAGCGCCAACGGCACTTGCAGACGCGTCAGTCGTTAGTATAAATTCATGGTTGAAATCAGGAAAAGAAAGAATAGGTGCTGAGAGTAAACATTTCTTCAGACATTCTACGGCTTCTTGTTGAATTTTCTGCCATTTAAATTTGGTATCCTTTTTTAGCAACAGATACAACGGTTTGGCTTTTCAGGCAAAATTCTGAATGTAGGATCTGAAATATCCAACTAAACCCAAAAAGGCCTGTACTCCCTTAACATCAGTTGGGATAGGGAAATTTTGTATTGCCTCTATTTTTGTTGGGTTAACCCTAATCCCTGTTTCACTGATTAAAAAACCCAGATACTCAATCTGAGCACGAAACAATTGGCACTTTGAAAATTTAACTTTCAGTCCTGCATCATCAAGCCGCTGTAGTATGTCTGATAAATGAGAGAAGTGTTCATCAGCGGTTCGTGAGTAAATCACAATATCGTCGACATAGATATAAGCATATATACCCAAGCATCCATCATAAAACCAGGTGCATTAGTCTTTGGAAAATGGAAGGGCTATTTTTAAGGCCCATGGGTAGTTGAATAAATTCATAATGACCCATAGGCATTGAAAACGCCGTTTTCCATCTTTCTTCTTCTCGGATCTTGATGTTATAAAATCCGTGTAGAAGATCAAGTGCAGTAAAATATTTTGCATTTCCCAACTCCTCAAAAATCTGGTTAATGCAAGGTAAAGGGTGCGCATCCGTTATTACATGATCATTTAGTCGTCTGAAATCTACAACCATCCGCCACCCTCCGTCCTTTTTCTTAACCATTAGCGTCGGGCTATTGTATGGGGATTCGGATGGGCAAACAATTTTGTGATCAAGCAAATCTTCAACAAATTCGTTCACTTTAGGACGCATTCCATGCAGTAACGGATATTGCCGGGTAAAAATGGGCTTATCCGTATCTAGGGGTATGTCCGCTTTGTAAAGTGGGCATAATCCTAAATGATTGGATTTCTTGGCTAGTACGTTCCTGTATTTACGCAGAAGCGTGCACAATGCAGGTGTCAATTTTTCGGGGCACTCAGAAAGTTTAATGTTCTCATCAATTAGTTGATAGAGATCTTTGTCTTCCAATTTGCCATGTAACCGTTTGAGCTTTTCTCTATTTGAGGATCCTTTCTTTTCTTTGGCTGCTAAAACCAGGCTAGTATTTTTTGATGGATCCGTTACCTCTGTAATTACATGGACTCCAACGGTTGCCAATGTTGAAGTGAGTTGTGGGGAAATATCAATGTCTTTGTCGCCCACATTGAGGCAAAGTACGCAATAGAGTCCCTTATGAGGACGGGATATGCTGCGTGCTACAATTAAAGTTCCACAGAGGCCATTGGAAATGTACAACGCACGCGTTCCAACTTTTTCTGCAGATTTACTGGATAGTTTCGCAAAAAGCAGTTTCTGAGATTTTCTAGGTATTTTGCTATTTTCGGAAGGATACAATCTAAACAACTCGGGTTCTTCTACCGGATTGATTTGAGAACATCTGACTTGTCTTCGATGAGCTGTTTCCTTTAAAAATGACACACGCATTTCGTTCAAATGTACACACTTTTCTCTGTAAGATAAACGGGCATGCATTACCTTCAATACATCCGACCCAAGGATTCCCTCAAATTCCTGACCATGCATAGGGAAAATTATGAAACGCGCACGTGTTAGGAAAATGTTATTTATATAGAAAGAAATATACAATACTCCATTCACGGGCATCTCCCTACCTTCGATAGTAGCGATAGAAGTATTGGATGCCGTTGGTGTTACCTTAGCTTTTAGGGTATTGGGGGATAAAAGAGAAATTTCTGAACCTGAATCCAATAAGAATTTTGCAGGGAAGCGGGTTGCGTCTGTTGATAGGAGGACAACTGGCAACTTCGTAGCAGCTGCTGAGGAAGTACCGGTCAATACTTGTTTCCCGAGTATGACGTTGTGGGTTTGTCGATGTAGCCCTCTGGAAGGAGCTCTTCTTCCTCTTCGTCGTCGCATTCCTCATTCTCATTATAATCCTTGCTTTTCTCTATGAAATTCACTGCTTGACGCCCGTTTCCACGCCCGTGACCACGCCTGCGCGTATTTCCGTGATAGGACAAGCGCCCTCTCTGGGTACCCTGTCCACCTGTGAACTTGGGTGCGCGGCCCTCCTTCTCAGGGGCTAAGTACACCAATTTTTGCTTGGTAGGTTTGGCCGTCACCTTACTCTGAGCACAACATTTGCTGCGAAAATGGCCTTTTTGGCCGCAATTATAGCAAATCTTTTCGCCTCAAATATCAGGTACATTGGTTCCACCATAACTAACTGGGGGTGTTTGGGGGCGCGAGTGGGACGAGATCTGATGGAGAGAGGAAGATTGAGAAGAGTCCAAGTCTCTTTCTCGGTCCTCCACTGAGATCGCAAATCTAAGGGCAGTCTCAAAATCATCAAAAGTGATGCGTATCGCATTGGCAATCTTGGGCACAAGTCCGTCCATAAAAGTTGAGAGCAAGAATCCGTCGAGAAAATCCTGTTTGCCTTTATACTCCCTACACTCCTTCACATAGAAGGGATTTGGCAGGAGGGCTGCAGGTTGATTTTCTTGGCAAATTACCTTTAATTTTCCGGGGGCGTCGCCCAGGAGGAAGTTTCCTGCCCTTCTTACTCTGGCCCCGAAAGTCTGCACTTGCTCGCCTTGAGCTTGTCGCATCCTTTTCAGGTCCTTCATAAGATTGGTTAAAACTCTTCTCCCGAACTATCTTGTAACGTTTTTACTATTACTCTATAATGAGCTGAAGTCAGCCTTTGGATTGACGTTACATAAATCTGCGCTTCTCCCCTTAATTTACTCAACAAGTTGGACCGGATACTCTCATCCGAGTAAACACCATTGTACAGGGCACTTTGAAAAGTAGCCCACCACTCTTGCCAATTCAAAGGACCACTTCCGTCAAAATGCGGTATTTGATTCATTGCGATCGACGCCTGCTGAGTGCTGACACTTGGCAATCGGGACTTTTTGAAATGTTCTACATTATTGTTATCCCAAATCGGCAAAAGAATACAACTTCAGACACTTTCGTGTAGAAAGAAACGTCTCTCTTTCTTACGCGATTAATCTAAAACTTAGTTCCTTCCAAGATAACGTTCTGTCGAGAAGAATTCTAATTCTTTATGGCCGGGGTAAAGTAAATCTAGACTTCTCGATAAAGTGAATACGTATATATTTCGTGAGCTTCTCCAACAAGAGTCAAACCAGCAATGAATGCTGACATATACACTTCGCGGTACCTTTATAGATGCGGATCGAGCCAGACGCGTCTGCGCAACTAGAACGGGGAAAACAGAAAGGGGACCGGGCAAATGACCGCAAACCAGACAGTGTATCGAGGACACGCAATGTCATCGTCTGCTTCGGGGCAGCGAGTTGCTATGCGGGAATTGCAACAGTAGAGAGCAGTATTATAAACATGGCGTAGGACACTGTAACTATTTCTTTCGGTGACAACTTCCAAAGATGAAAAGTTTTACTGTGTTTACTCACATTTTATTCATCAATTAACAGTAGGGAAATTGTTGCTATTTTTTGAAAATGTCAAGTTTAAATTTACTGAACCGCATTTCCACAGTTGAGGCATACATGCGGCTCTTTCAAGCAAATGCCCTCGGGGTGACGACAGCAGCCGCGTCGATCTCCGGGAAGCAATTCCACTACAAGGGCTCGCTGCACCAGAGTCATCAGCATATGGTGTTCGGATCCGGGTTGCCGTCGTTCCCATCATTCGAAATGGCTGACGAGGACCTTCCACCGCCTCTGCCGCCGCCCGCGCTGCCGCCGAAACGCGCGCCACCGCCTCCGCCGTTTATCCCTCCGCCTGCGATAGTCGATTCGGATCGACGCCATCCGCCGCCTCTGGCCGCTTCTTCTCCTCCGCTGTCCTCGTCATCGTCGTCTGCGTGTCCTTCCATGTCGCCGTCGTTGTCACTGTCTCCACCTGCGTCGCCGGTGCGTTCTAATGCGTCCCCGACATTGCTGACGGAAACAGTGGGCGTGTTGCCGGCGAAGGAAGACAGCGTTGTTGACGAATCGACGGAGACGGGTCACGACGACGACGAAGAAGAAGACGCTGGAATGAAGAGCGACGAAGACATTGAATGGGAATATCTGGAGCTGTTGGATGTGGCGGAGCATCTAGTGAAGAAGAAGATGACTGAGGATGGGCCGGAAATTCGAGGCGGACATGTGGACGTCCTTATTGTTCATGCGACTGTTGATCTCAAGAACGGTAAATTTACCATCTGAATTTTTATCGAATTGCTCATGAATCGGACTGTATTTTGTCTTTTCAGAATATTCTTACCAAGAAGCGTTCCTTACCACGTATCGTACTTTCGTGGAGCCAGTGTGTTTAATTGACAAGCTGACCAAGCGATATGACCGGTTCACTCGTTCCGGAGACACTTCACGGCAACGTGCTGCCAAGGCAACTTTCTCGCTTCTTGTTCGGGTTGTCGATGATTTGGCGTGAGTATAAGTCAGTCTTCGCTTATTGCTGGGAAAGTATTCGAAACGATTGTTTTCGAGTTTCGTGAAAGCTCGCAAGGATCTTCTCAAAAGCGGCATGTTTTATGTGGGCGATTTAAATGTATGCAGCGCAACAACAAATGAACTTACTGCTGGAAAATGATTCAACCCAAAAAGATTCTCTTCATTTATCGACATATTTTTGACCCTGAGGTTAATCGGCTATTGAGATTCCCGTGGGGGACAAATGATTCTTCGGTTCCTTGAATTTCATCGTAGAAAGTGCCACCTGTATTCGTTTTTTTAAAATAATTCTTCTGATGTTTTACCGAAATTCGAAGTCACATTGTTAGAAGGTTCGGAGCAATTTTTTGAAATTGAGGTGAAGTGATGTCAGCATTGTTTTTATTTCAAGTAAAAATATAAGTTTTCTTGAAATCATGTCTTTTTCTTTATACAGGATAACGGATCTCTCCGAAGATCTGGTTAAAAAATTGATGAAATTCGCTCAACAATTGGTCTCCCGTGGCGACTTGGTGCACGCCAAAACTCTACGTTCCAAAATCCTGGAGCGCTACAATGCACGAAAAAATTTTTTCAACCCGCAATCGACTCTCCCATCACTGGGGGTATCATTAAGGTATTTATTGCGTTTTTTTTATTGAATTGACCCCGATGCCATCATGCTGGACTTTCTAATTTTTCTTCAGGCAATATTCTTTGACGGATTTCAAGAGCGAACACTTAGCTGAGCAAATGACTTTGATGGATGCCGAGCTTTTCTTGAGGATTGAGATACCGGAGATTCTTTTGTGGGTTCAAGAGCAGAATGAAGACAAGTCTCCGAATCTCACGAAATTCACTGAACACTTCAACAACATGTCATACTGGTATGAACATTATTGCTGTATTTTTTCAGGGTGCATGATTGAAAACCGATCGCTTTCACTCCATTTTTTGGTGGAGACTCCTCAATATTTCATTTTCAGCGATCGTTAAAAAAAAAACGGGATTGAGCCGTCTGGGCTTGATTAGATTGTGAGCTCTGTTTTCGAAACAGATTCTATTCGTCGCACTGGATGAGCGACTATGGAAAGCGAGAGAGTATGTGTGGTTTTAATTATCTTCCGTAGGGCCAGAACAGTTATTTTGCAAGCAGAACCTCGGGACCGCGAAAAGTTGGTGAACAAGTTCATCAAAATAATGAGGCACTTGAGGAAGGCAAACAATTTTAACTCGTACTTGGCTCTTCTGTCGGCACTTGATTCGGCACCGATCCGCCGTCTGGAGTGGCAGAAGAACATCACTGAAGGCCTCAAGGAATACTGTGCATTGATTGATTCATCAGCTTCCTTCAGGGCATATCGGCTGGCTTTGCAGGAAACTCAACCTCCTTGCATACCGTACATGTAAGGACGTGATTTTCCAAATTACGAGTTGACGTCGAAACTCATTTTGAATTTATTTGTTTCAAAATCAAGTGGTTTGGTACTGCAAGACCTCACTTTTGTGCATATCGGGAACCCTGATGCATTCCCCGATGGCAAAATAAATTTTGGGAAGCGATGGCAGCAGTTTCGCTGCTTGGATGATATGAAGCGTTTCAAAAAATGGTGAGTATCTTGAGAACGAACGTTATCAACGGAACGATAGGTTTCCCGACTGAAATTTCATACAGTACAGTGTGTTGTTCAGAACTTCTGTTGAGTTTTGACGGCGTGTTAATGACGGTTTATTAAAACATGCATTTTTAGTTTTTCGCGATGGATTCCGTTGACAAAATTCTATGATTTTTCCAGCAATTATCCCTTCAAGAAGAACGAGAAGATTCTGGCTTTCTTCAACAGCTTCGACGACTTCCTCAGCGAAGAAGCCCTGTGGCAGATTTCGGAGACCATCAAGCCACGAGGCGCCAAGAAAAACGCTAATGCTTGAAGAACTCTTCTCTTTAAAAAATTGTATTGAGATTTTCTTCTAGTTACTTTCGACCCGTTGGAAGCAGTTTTTAGTCGTTGGTTTCTCTGATCTTTCCCGTCGGCGTAGCACGCGTTCTTCCCCGTCGACCGTCGGTTCATAATTTCATGGTGCGGTAGGGACGAGTGGGGTCCGGATTTTTTCGCTGAGTGGGACATGAACGAGGACATGGTCGTGATTGTGGCAATGAAGGAAGGGGGGTTTTTCGTGTAGCTGGAGAGATGAAAGCTTTAAAACAAGTACTATTCGAGTCGCGAGGTGAGTTTTCCGAGTGCCAGGGAAAGAAGTTGTCTTTTTGAGTTGTGGACACTGCTCCAGTTTCTAGATCTGACGGATTGGACTACTTTCATTCTGCATTTCTAGCTTTCGTTCTTTAGCCGGCACGGAATCTAGTCAGAAATTTTTTTTTTCCAAAGATTGTATGGAACAAGTCTCTGATAGTGGACTTGGCCGAAGAACGACAGCACATTTTTTTGGTGTTAAACTAGGGCCTGTTGAGGATGCGTTGGAGGGGTGAACTGGCGGCTGAGATTCAGATCAAAAGGTCAGGGTGTTGACGCTTGCGGTCGGTCTCGGAATCGCCCTTGCGTCATAGTAGCTGCTCGTTGAGTGTGATGGATATACTCTCTGGTCTAGAGCAGTGGTTCATGTTTGTCAGAATGGAAACGAATTTCAGCTGACGCGGTTTTTTCCCTTTTTGTGGGGCGTCTGGAAAGGGGTGTTTTTTTCGCGGATGCTCTCACTAGGACTGCGCATTCACTTTCATTTTGTGTTCCGTATTTGATCGAAGTTCAACCGGATTCGCGTCGGAGAAAGGTGATTTATAGTTATGCAGAAGCTGACGAGGGTCACACTCAGACGACAGATACACAAACAAGAAGCAACTCTGCGAATGCAAAGTTGGGGGAAGAAATCTGAACTGAAATTTTGAAAGAAAATTCTGGGTCTATTCATTTCTACTAATATCTTTTTCACGTATTTCAGCAGTGTTTCGCGTCTTTTGATGGAAAAATAATTTTCTTTTACATATAGGATTATGTACGTGCCTTGTGTTCGACGCGCACTGTGTCGCGCTCAGTATTTTTTCAATGCACGGATAAAGTTGAATGTTCTACGTAATATTTTCTTTCCAAATCAAACATGTGTTCGCGCATGGTACGTGGCGTGAATCGAATACTGTCGAACTTCCGAATGTCAAATGTTGAAGTATTTTAAAAATAATTTGAGTTAGCTGAAACTCTAAAAATTTTTGGGGGAAAGAAATAAGAACTACAGGAAGTTATTCTGGGCCTTAAAATGCCTCTTAGAGGAGTTGACAGGATGCTGAACTTCAATGCATAAGTTCACATGCACAATTAAACTTTCATTTCCTGTCAAAACACATTGTTACATTTACCTTGGTTTTCTCTCTCCTGTATCCATATAAAGCTGAAAGTTCTTGATAAATTCTCAGATATGGAATATTAATTCGAGTTTGGGAGGTTCTAAATGCATTGTTCCTAGTGGAATCCAGACAGGAACTTGAAAAATTTGGAATAGTGTTAATTGACTTGTGTAGGTTTGATTTATCTCAAGTTAAATTTTAAATACATTATTGTCATAGCAGTTGATGATTCAAAGTTTTTTGCAAATTTTGCTAAACTCTGGGTGCACTTTTTAAAACTTCTGTTGGGATAACGAAGTGACATCTACACAACTTGGGAATCCCTCTGAACACAGAACAGTATTTTGATCGTTGATCTAAGATGATGTGTGAAATCCAGTTCAAGTCATGGATCTTTCTATGAGAAAATGCATCTTTCTGCTGCAGTTGATCAAAATGATGCAATTTGCATGTTAAAGTTGAGGTATGTTGTTTATGACGTCACAGAATCGTCAGTAAATCGCAGGAAGCATCAGAAGGTATGTATTTGAAAAAGCTATGCTATATCGTGCAGTTTTCGGTAAATGGAGGACGTGGATCACAGATTCTATTCCCTTTGGTTATTGTAAAAGCATCTTTCGTCAAAAAGGAATTTGAGAAAAACATTCAAGTTCCTGGACCAAAGGACAGCATGTCACAAAATGACTATACTATACAGGTGGTACCCTGCAATTAGACCCTAATCTTTTTTCAAAATAGGACTTCAGTTCATTGAGTTGCTTAAACTGCATCACAATAACCTCTCCAGCAGCTTCAAAAAGAAACGAAAAGAATTTGTAAAACATTCCAAAATCACAAAAATCTTGTATTGTGTAAGCCAATAATAAGAAGCCCTGCTTTCATTCAAGTACTCTGCAGAATACAGCTATTTTCTCTTTTAAAAAAAAAAAATATATATATATATATATATACTGTATATATATATATAGCTTTAGCAATTGCTGTATTTTGACGTTTCCTCTTTCCGGTATTTTTCACGCCAATATTTTGTGACGACTTCCTTCATAATGGATAATTTGACCATCAGCTAATTATAATAGTTGAAATGGTCATATATGCATGTATGATGGAATATTAATGCACCTGAGTTGGTTTTTAAAAATGGGTTACTAAATTTACTGGCATTAAATGTATACAGCTGTTGCTGTATACATCTAACAGACTTCCTTTGAAAGAGAAAGTCAATAATAATGGTCTACTTGTTTTTGTAAAATGAGACCACAATTGCTGTATTTGCTGATGAAATCACTGCCGGATTTGGTTGTTCTCAGAAAACTCGCTAATTGAATTTTTTGCGCAAAGATTTAAGAAATAAATTAATAATTCATTTGAATAGAGATAAAATCAGCATATTCTACTCCACAAGTCTACACCAGGAACGTTATATATAATCTATTATGAATATTCGTATGATAATCCCATGCGCTTTCTGACCAACGTACAAGCCTTGCTCAATTATTCTGTACACTGTACGCGAGTACTTGCGATGCATCTTTTCTGAATAATCGAATAAACTAAGATAGAAAACAGCAATGGAAATAATTCATGCCGATTGAAGTTAATCACGTGTCATCTTTGTGTTGCATTTTACAAGTTATACTGTGTATTCATGAATACAAATTATTTAATGAGGCTATTATATTATTTAACCTTTTCATTTTGCGCAATTCAATTGAATTTTTGGAGTGGAGGATATTAAATAAATTGTCCAATTTTTAAAGGGCATATTCCTGATCACTACGTGTACTGCAATATACTACACTGTACATACTGTATGAAGTATATACATTAGTACCGTATTTGGAAGGGTACTGCAGGAAAAAAAGCACTTAATCAATAATGGCTAGAATGAAGAGGAAAGCATTCATTATCATCATCATAGTCATTGCTTTAGCTGATGGAAAACCAGCATATTATCTACTATACAGTATGTTGTTGTAACTGGAAAATGTGGTATGAAACAATAAAAGGATGAAATATATGTACAATGCATAGATATACAATACAGTGGCCCCCCGCCTAACAGACCTCCCGTGCATTGAAAAAATACTGAGCGCGACACAGTGCGCGTCGAACACAAGGCACGTACATAATCCTATATGTAAAAGAAAATTATTTTTCCATCAAAAGACGCGAA